TTTTATTTTTTTTTTTTGAAGTCTTGTATACTTATGAAGTGATTTGGTGATGAGGATGATTTGATCTAGATAGAAACACATGAATTATGAGGTATTCTTTCCTAGGATGAAAAATTTACTTCATCAACACAACATAAACATAAATTCTAACTGAAAACATCAAAACAGAGCATCTGATACAAGCTTGTGAACAGAACAGAGTAATTTGCAAAGAGAAATCTTGAAGAGAAAACAGTGAAAAGTTCCTAAAGTGAAGTAAACATAGTAATTTGCAAAAACCATATTAACTGAAGATATTGTTCAAATTATCCACAGGTCGATGTGGCCTTCGTCTTCCCCATCCAAATTGCTCGGCTTAGAGTTAACGATCATAATTTCCTCCCCAACAGCTGCACTCGATTCCATCATCTCGTCAAACTCCATCATCACTTTCGAATGGATATCAGCCAAATCCCCATTATTCCCCTTGTTCGACTCGAACCCTCCATCATTTTCCATCATTTTCGTCCAACACTGAATATTTTCCTCATTTTCTGCATCTTTTCCGACCTTTGGATCTTTAATGCACTTCTCTGGGTTCTCAACAGGGATTATTGATCTCTCTTTGTTCTCTTCTGCTTGCTCGGCTGTACCTTCACCTCCCGAACTTGTACCTTTCTCGAGCTTCTCGTTTTTTCCTAGATACTCCATGAAGCGCTTGAGGAATAACTCCGTGTCGATTTTCTCGTTTTCGAGTTCTTGAAATCTCGGCATTTCGAGGCCCGCCAGCTGGCTTTCCATGTCGATCATCGTACGGCCGAGCTTCTGGATCTTTCTTCTCATGTCGTTTTGCTCGGTTATGAGGTTGTCTAGCTTCGCCTCGATTGTGACATGTGTCGACTTATGATGAACTCGACGCTTTTTTCCTTCCCCTGTGTGGTGGGCCCAGTCTGAGAGTTGGTTCCTTCTCTTGATGTTTTTCAGCCAATGCCTTTTCCCAGCTTGGAACCATTGATTTGCATATTCATATCTCTCCCAACTTATCTTTCTAAATCCCTATATATTGATTGAGAAAAAAAAAAAGGAAAAAATAAAATCGATTAATATGACGATGGATCAATCGACCAAAAAAAAAAAAGGATAAGCAAGATTCAACAAGATTTGATGTGAACTCACATAGCTGTTGAGCTGGTAGACGAAGCTGGAGAAATTGCTGGTCTTGAAAACGGTCGGGAGAACGTGAGCCGAGAACTTGTTGTGGTCCCATATTATGAAACCCGAGCCAGTCGAGTTCCACGTTATGTACGAGTTTGTTTCGGGATCGTTAACCATATCGAAAGTCTTGGTAAGAAATGGAGGGGGTCTCGGCTGCAACTTACGACTCATATTTGTCGTAAAACGATCATCATCATCATCATCTTTATCGATCGTGCTCGTATTTCCACGCTCGAAATTTTTCGGCACAATGGCCATCTCAAAATCCATTTTTTTTTTTAATTTTACAATGTACTTATCTTTGTCTTGATGATGAAGATAATATAACCTTGTGGAGGCAACTTGATATTCAAAAGAGAGATTAAAAGTGGTTTAGTTCTGATAATAGTACAGTAAGTAGAGTGCCACACTTAACTTGTGAGTTAAACCAAAAAAAAATGTTGCATGCAGAGTACATATAATTTGTTCATAACTCCCTTTGATTTTCAATAATTATAATTTACTCTTTCATGATGTTTTTGCTGTTTTCAAAGACTTGGAATATATTCCTCTATATGGGAACAAATAGTGAGCTCTGGGTGGGCCAGCGGTCTAACCGTCGGGTAAGTGCTAAGCTGAATAATAATTTAAATTATATATAAACACGTTTTTTTAATCTTATAATTATGCGACAAATAACAAAATAAATAGATTTTATGTAAATTTAATATATATGTATATAATTGTCGGTTTAAATCGAGTTGATTGTACCGAGTCAATACCCAAGTAGATCGGATCAAGAGTAGGTCGATCAATTTGACCGAATCTTTTGTTATCTGATCTAACTGACCCATCCGAACTGATCCCGACTCCGAGCCCGAGACCGTCCAAGTAAAAAAGACACCGATATTACCATATGAAAATAGTTTGGGCTTAAGAGTTGACTCGAACAGACCGTTAATTTTGGCAGTCTTTGTCCTAATCTCATCTCCCAAAACTAACCTAACCCAAAAGACTTGTAAGCCCATTCGCTGTTCGCATGTCAAATAAACAGTTCAAACCTTTGAAAAAACGCCCACAAATCTTGGCTCGCATGACTACTAAACAGTTGTTGAAACTTTGAAAATACACACCAAATGAGTAAACAGAAAGAAAGGGATACAATTGTCCTTTTCCCTTTTTCTTTTGCTCATTATCTTTTACTTTTTTTTTTTTGGTACTTTG